AAGTTTAAATACAACCATAAATATATACCAGCAGACCCACCCAAGTTTCTTCTTTTTAAACCTGGCAATAAACCGAAACTCGGTTCATAATGAACTAAGTTACAGGTCTATAAGTGCGCAAAAGTACGAAAAACCGGTTTTTAACGGTAAATCATGATTTTGGGGGTGTTTGGCAAATTTCATATTTCGATTCTGGGTTTACTCAAAAAGACCTACCAGAAAATATACATAACTTCCCAGGTATTTCTACTTTATGCTTTTTTGTAGCACTGTGTCATTTGTTAATTTAGCTATTGGTCTTAACCATAACTAAAATTTTGATTAGGCTTTGCATATTTAGCCTTTTCTCTGAAAAAGTTCTGGCAAAACTGGTAAAGAGTTGTCAGTGTTTGACCATCGATATGTTGACACTATATCCAAACCCAAACGCGTGTTAAGCAAACAGTGAAACACTTACTTATTTTTTAAGGGCCGGTTGTTCAATGTCTGATTAGCGCAAATCGGAGGTAGAAGCTCCGGTTAAGCACAACTACTGCTTTATCGATCACATGTTACATGAATGATGTCGAAATCGTCGATAGTGTAGTGGTAGTGATAACCAGACATTGAACAACCGGCCCTAAGTGTTGCAAATAAAACTTCACACTTAAGCTTAAGACATTCATAACAAAAATTGTATGCTGAAAATTCCCGCTCGTCCTTCCTTGAAAAAAATACATACGCTTAAAATAAAAATCATTGAAATCGGCTCAGTATTTTAAGACTTCGGATTAGAAAAAATTGTCTTTCAATTTTACATACAATCCAACATACAAATTTTTTCCGAGATAAGGCTAGCCATTTCTAATAGATTTTGGGTCGCGGAATTTGTAAAAATGTATACTTATATACATATGAATTTGAATTTCAAAAAATAATAAGGCAAATAGCAAAATCGGCTAAAACAGCAATTATTTGCCAAACAGCTAACAAATCAGCTGCCGGCTTAACACAGTTTTGTCGCAACCGGCTAAATCTAGCCAGACTAGGGCTAAACTGACAACACTCATGATATCAGGGGGAAAAATGACAATAAAATTGAAAATTTTGATTTTGTACATCAGCTTGTTCTTCAAGGTTAAATAATCATAATAATAATAGATTGGCGCTTACACATATGTTAGTGTTTGGCCGAGCTTCTCCACAGATTTGTGGCGTGCGCCGTGATGATGTCACACAAAGGGGAGTGACCTACAGTTTTACACCGACTCCGAACGGCGATTGTATTTCTATGAGAAGCTGTTTTTCACGGCAAAAATACACTCGGAGGCGACCGATGTTAAGAAAAAACCTTTTTTCTATATTTTGTTGCGATGTTGCTATGACCAGGGCTTCAACCCAAGCACTGCAGAGTGGAAGCGCGCACTGCGCGCACTGCTAACCACTACACCACAGCGGCCGGTTAAATATTGCGAAGAATTAATTCCAAGGAATTGCAGTCGGAAAAATTTTTCTTCAGTCGGCTCATGATCAGCCGTGAAGTGCCTTAATAAGCACAAGGAAGTTGAGGAGCGGATTTAGTTCGAGATAATTCAAATACGTGCTATATTCGGAGAAAATTGTACAGAGGCTGTCAAGAATCCTCGTTTTCTCAATTGTCTTTATTGTCATAAGCTCAAATTACCTTTAAAATGCATCACTTATATTGTTTAGTTGGATGATCGGAAAACTAAACCTATAACAAATTTGTTGCCACGAATTTATTATTGGTTTAGTTTTTCGATCACCCAACTAAGCACATATTTATAACATTGAGCTCCACCGGAACGATTGTGTTAATTCATTTCAAAAAATTCGACGCATTTTTCAGTTACGCGACAAAGTGAATAGTTGTGGGTATCATTGTTGCTTATTGATAAGGGGCTCAGAAAAAAAATGTCCACAAATTAAAAAAAAAATATATTATTAGTTAATACATATCTATGTGTGTATTAATCGCCCACTGTATGTATGTATGAATGTGACTACAACTAATGTGCAAAAACTTGTGACTATTTGATTAGTGTGACACTTCTGCAGCTTAACTGTCTAACTGTTAAGTTACAATAATTCTAGTTGATTCGCTTGTTTCGTCTTGATTCTATTACGACCGGCAGATGCATTTAGTGCAAATATATATGTATGTACAGTAGAGGGGTCCAAAACGAATATAGCCGGAATTTTAATGCCCCCACCCCTAGGACTGTTCTGAACTGAAAAAATATACCCCTATTTTTTATTTTAAAATCAAAAAATATTTAGAGTGCTCACAGCGCTCAAAGTTTTCCATGTTTTTTATATGGGGGAAAAACAACTTTTTGTAGAAATGGTATAAAATTCTTGAAAATTAATATAATTCGATCGTAAAACTGTGGTCCTTCTTTAGGAAACTTCCAATATTAATATCCAATTGTTTATTTAACAATTTTTTAATATTACAGATTTTTTATTGGTCTCCCCATAGCAAATGTAGTAACCATAAAAAAATGGTTAAAGAAACAATTGAGTATTATTACTGGGAATCCTCTGAAGATAAGCAAAGTTTTCCGATCGAAAAATATCGATTTTCAAGAATTCTGCACTATTTATACGAAAAGTGGTATTTTACCCATATAAAATACATTTAAAACTCTGAGCGCTTTGAGCACTCCCTAAATTTTTTTTATTTCAAACTAAAAAAATAAGGGTATATTTTTTCGGAATAGAACAATCTTAGGAGGTGGCGGCATTAAAAATCCGACCTTATTTTTCCACATACATTTTTGGACCACTTTAATGTACAGTCTATAATAAAGTTTAGGTACAGCGATTTTTTTTGCAATACGGGCAACTGTTTTTTTATTATTTTATTTTTCGCAAATTTTTTATGAAAATATGGATGATTCTACGACCAACACCCCAAAAATCCGAGCTCCAAATTTTGTGCAAAATTAAAGAAAATTCTGCAAATTTTCATCAAAATTAGTGTTGGGCAGTATCGATACCAAAAGTACTCAGAACTCGATTCTCAAAAGGATCAACAGTACCCGATTTTTAAAAGTATCGATACTGAGTACTCCAAAGTAGCATTCAATCGACGTTATTTGGAATTAATCTATGAATTTGAATAAATTCCTGCCAGCTAGTGAGATTTCTACACTAAGCATTGAAATGTTACCAACATATCGTCGGTGGTACTGCAAAACGGTCTATGCCTATTAGTACCCTTGACATTTAGATTTTTGTACTCGACACTTTTTACTGCGATCCAAGTAGGTATCGGAAGTGCAAAACTTATTATGCTTCAGCAACTTCTTTGAAAAGCAACCCATTAAAGGAATTCGAAGATATGCGCAATACATTTCCGCAGCTACATATATAAGCAAGCCCGTCCATACAGTGTTGCCGTTGTGCGACTAAAGGCGCGATTTGACCATTTTTAAGCGACAATACCCTTTGACCCGACTTTTTAAAAATTTTGACTTTTTGACCCTTTTCCAAAATTATGTGCGACTTTTGCCCCTTCCCAGAGATTTTTTAGGAAATGTTAACAGAACCATGCTATTAAAAAATATTTCCTCTTGTAAGTACGAAAAAATGCATCACTTAAAACTTTTAATGGAAATGTAACTTTTCTCGATTTATATGTATGTTCGCAACCTTGTTTTGTGAAAAGCGTGCCCCACTATTTTATTTTTAAATTCAACAGATTTATTCTTTTACTAGTAAATAAAAGCAAAAATAATATGGTGACCCTTTTTTTCGTCAATGAACTTCTTTTTTCAACTTTCTGGAAATTCTCAACGGCAACACTGCGTCTTACATAACGGTTGTTGGGTCATCTGTCCCTCGCGAGAGGCTTTCCTCAAATACCGATACAGCTATATCAAAATCTCGAAACCGCCTTTCAGAAAAACACTTGGAAAAGTTGATGTTTTTGGGGAAATATAACAAAACAGGAGTTATTTTGTTAAACGCATTTTATATGAAAAAACTTTATCTATTAGTCTTGTAAAAATGTATTCTATTGTTTTTTGAAATCAAATACTATAGAAAAATATTTGCTGTCTTAAATTTTTGTCTGAAAAGTTATTAAAAGATAAATAACCTTATAAAAAGCATGTTTTTTGTGAAAAAAAACAATACAATTACTTCGAAAAATATGCAAAATCGTAGTCTATGTACAAGTACTCGATACCTTATTTGATACAAGTACAAGTACAGATTTGAGTAATACCTTGATGGTATCGATTTATTAAACGAATGACAAAACTGTCTACCTTTGGCTGATGAAGATGAACGGTTACCAGAAGCGATCAAATAGAACGACATAGAAAGTACTCGATTCTCAAAAGTACTCAATACCCCCAACACTAATCAAAATATTACACCTTTTAATTACACTCTTTAGAAAAAAAACCAAGTATGCAGTTTTTTAGCCCATTCAGTTTTAGTATTATAATGTGCAAGTCGGAGGTAGCTAGGACTAACCAATGATTTTTGGCAAATGATTTCAACAAAATAATTTGTCAAAAATCATTGCTCAGTGGGCTGAAAAACTCCTTACTCAACTTGTTTCGTAAGAGTGTAATTAAGAAGTGCGATATTTTAATGAAAATTTGCAGAAGTTTCTTTAATTTTATACAAGGTTTGAAGCTCTGTTGTAGAATTAACCATATTTCTATAAAAAATTTGGGAAAAATAAAATAATTAAAAAACAGTTGTCCGTATTGTAAAATAATCGCTGTACCTAAATTTTATTGATTGACTGTATTTACAATGTACATTGTACATATATACATACATACATATGTTTAGTATAGAAATGTGCGCATGTACATATGTATGTATCCATATGCATATAGATATAATTTCGCAAGTGTAACTCAGAGAGACAACGTAACGTAATATTTATAAGTAATATTATTTCGATTTAGAGCCCGGCACTGATTCAAGACCCGATATACCGTTACATTAACTCGTTAATTAATAAAACTGCCTACCGCACACCACAAGTACATTACTGCTTACGATCGTTGGCTGGTTGGTTAACTAACTGATAGACTGCCGCCTATTTGCCTTCTTTGCGGCTGCTATCTGGAAGCAAATATACGTTGTTCTTTATTTATTGCTCATTTGTCTTCGCTATAGTAGTATTGTTGTGGTTGTTGTTATGTCTGTTGTTTTTGTTTGTCTCTATATATAAATGGTGTCTAGCTAAAGGCGCTGAGACATTTAGATAAGTTGGGGGCTTGTGTAGAGCTCAACATCAACAAAAAAAAACAGATGATCATTAATTCACGACCACTCTAAAGTGATATGGTCGATCACAGGCGCACAAACAGTGACCATCATAAACTACAGAAGAACATGCAAGTCAAACAATGCTTTTGAGGAAACAAGCGAACAGCTACTGCCATTCCAAATACGAGCATGTAAACAAAACGGATAAGAGTACAGTAAACAATATATGCGACCGCTGTGGCTGAGTGGTTTGAGGTGCGTACTACCATTCCGTAGGATCTGGGTTCGATCCCTTATCCGCTAAGTCCAAACTTGAAAAAGTTGTTTCTAACAGCGGTCGTCCCTCGGTAGGCAATGGCGTACCTCCAAGTGTATTTCTGGCTTGAAAAATTTCCTCATAAAATCCATAAAACTGTAGGTCCTTCCATTTGTGTAACAACATCAAGACGCACACAACAAATTGGGGGAGCAGATCGGCCAAACACTGTAAAAGGGTCAAAATATTCTTATTTTTTTAAAACAATATATGCATGCAAGCATATGTGCATAAAAGTGCATGCCTTTACACATGCATGGAGTAAGTGCCAGGGCGGAAAAAAAACGCAAATTTTGGATATTTTCCGCCTCTTTATTTTTAATCTTATTCGGTTGAGGAAAAACTTCTTTACTTGCTTTAATTGCAAAATGAAATTTTTATGGATAGTTTTATCTCGTCGTTATGAAGAAAAAAGGCTTTAAGCCTGGAAGTGCATGCCTCGTCAAATCAAGGACGCCAGTTTTCATTTTTATATTAAATATATTTTACAAATAAAAACTAATTAAATTTTTGGTTTTAATTGTAAAAATACTAGATAGCGAAAATATTTAAATTTTATACTTCACAGACCACAGGCGAACTTCGCCCCGCACAAAATTATGACTTTTTTATTGCAACATTTTGGTCCAACATCAACACCAGTGTTGCCGTTTTGATGCATATATTTCAAACGTGATACGTGTTTGTGCAAATTTTCGGAAGATACTTTATTTTTTCGCTCATTTCGAGAGATACTTAAATTTTCCGCGTAGTATAAGTTTTCATACGTGGGAAAATATATATGTATCTAGACAGTGGCAGCTTTTAAAATTTGTTAATATTGAAGCGTTTTGGGGTCAAATAACCCTCTAACCGTTATGACCGTCTGTAGACGGTCAATGCTTTTTTCCTATTAAATGTTGTAGGGAAGAATGGTTTCCCTATTCAATATTTTCGTCCGTCAGAGCCAAGAATGTCTACTGGCGTCCAAAAAATATTGAATGTTCGATCGTATTAAATAAAAAGCAAAATGTTTTTAGCTAGGTGCGCTTTATTAGGCAGTCGCTGATCGAATGACTGATCCTCTTACAATGCTACGCTTAAATAGGCGACGAAATCAAGTAAATAGGAATAAATAATATAAAAAAACTTTTTAATATACAACGCTTTTATAAATGGACTAAAAAGT